TGTATATCGCTGCTCTGTCATGCAATGAGGTCCTGATTTAGGTAACTGTTGATAACATCAAATGACTTAAAGCTCTCCCAGAGTTTCACATAGCGCAAAAGTCACCCTTACAACAAAATCTTTATGGAAGAAAGTAGAAACCAACCATGCAAATATTATTCAAGCATTGTCATAAAACAACAACTTCTACTATATATAAGTTAACATTTAAGCAAGGATTCAGCAGGGAAGCCCTAACAAAGCATCTGCTATAAACAAACATCACAACAAATTCATTACATAACTTTTTAACTTTTGAAAGAGACCTTTCTATACTATGTCAGCCACTGAAAGAACGCTGTTCAAACCCCTTCCTCCACTTGTAACTTGAGTTTAGTGATACTACTGCCTGCCCCTCTTCATGCTGCAACTTGGACATTTGTACTGCTTTATATTCTCAGCCTTAGCAGGTGTTATCTTCACACACTTTCCGTGGAACCACCTCTCACAGATGTCACAGCCAATCCAAAACTCATCTGCATTGTAATTTCCACCACAGCTCCCACATAGGGTTTCACTGTGTTCATCTTCCTCATCCTCATAACTCTCATCTGCAAGCTTAGGGACGGTTTTAACTTGGCCATCACTTGATCTCTGCATGGATGATGAACCAAACGAATGGACACAAAAATAAGGATGCATAAAATGGTTGAAAACATTTACCACAGCCAGAATAAGGGGGTAAGAATTCTAACTTTGTTACAGAAAGCCAATATATGGAACTCCGTGGCCAACTGGTTTAGAATTATAAATACAATTCTTCATTTTTAAAAACAAAGGAAACAAGAAATTTTAAGAACAAACGTTTAATTAATGTTTTAACAATTTTCAGTTAGAAAGATGCTCCTAACTTTCTTTTTTCTCCATAGTTATAAAATCTGAGATGCAATTTTTTGAATGTTATATTAAAGACATTTTTAGATAAAACTACTGCAATACAATACAGATTTTTGGATCTTAGGTTTGAAAATTATTATTTAATCATAAATCACACAAGCTCTTAGGTTCCCTTTCAAATCAACAATCATCTCCAATGAGTAATTGCTTATAGAACATCAGAACAGCACAACTATGTTGTGTGCCTCAGAAAAAGGTAAACAAAGAATGCAAATTACTAGATTGAATCTGAAAAACTTGCAGAGATATAAAAATTAAGTTCTAAACTAAGTTCAATCCCTCAAACCTTTGTGCTGCCCCGAGACTTGCTACCACTATCCACACTGGGTTTATCTTTTATAGGCTTTCTTTCTGTAACAACTTCAAAGACAGTGGGCAGATCATTGATCATGCTAAATAGACGTTTCCTGTCAAGTAGAACTGACATGAGTACTAAACAATACCATTCTCTAAAATTAATAGAAAATAAAATAAGAATTCCACTAATCAATTCAATATACTCGCAAAATGCAAACAGATGTATCAGAGTACATGCATAACACACAGCCAACTACACCAGAAACCAATAAAGTTGAACAGGCAATTCTTACTCTCCGATGGTCTAGTGCGGACTTATCACTCAACAGAAAGAGGCACATCTAAAGCAAAACCAGTCATCACAGATGATATGCATATAACCATAAACTGTCATGTAGTGAACTCAGGCTCACTCTTTGGTATGACTTACTGTGAAGCCTTTTTCTTTTCCCTCTTTTGTAGCCCAAATGTGATATTCTAGTCAGATCACAAATGTCACAGCCAAAGGGAAGAAGTGAAGGAAGGTATGACTTATTACAGAATCAAATTGCATTTTGTAAACGGTGGTAACCCATTAATAAAAAATTTCTTTGTTAAAGGCCTTAACTTGTGTTCTAAGATGACTCCAATGGTGGGAAAAAAAAAAAAGAACGACAAAAGAAGATTGGCATAATTAATATAAGTAATCTCCCCAACTTCCAGCAACAGGCGTCATAAACAAATCACATTAGAAACTAGCCAAATAAATTAAAGAATAGGCCTTATTAATCAATAGGTAGAATGACAAAATCTTGACATCAGCTTATACTTATAATCGAAAAAGGAAAAAAAAAAAAACAATAGAAGAGCCTTCTCATGTTAATAAACTCACTCCAATCTTCCTAAATTGAGACTGCACAAATCAAAATCTTCCAAAAACCACTGAATATCAACAAAACAAGTCGAATGGCATTACAAACTGACACAAAAGTATGTAAATCAACCACACAATTTAATCCAACTCCCAAATATTCAAGGATACTATAAGCTACCAGGGAATGTTAACACTACCAAATAGCTATCAGTGATCACATAAAGTTAAAAACAATGATAATTCAAATGCAGCAAAAAGGCAAGGCAAAATTTTACCTTTCATTGCGGTTAAGACGAGCTCCAAGATAGAAAGCCACAGAAAGCAACCACGAATCAGTATGCACCGCAACGAGAGATAGCCAATCCTTGCGGTTCATTCCATCTCTTGCAAAATTAATCCCAAGTGCCGGCTCCGGAAGCTCCGGTGGAACTTCCTCAGCTGGCAGAGTAACTTCCCATGACTCGTTCGGATGTCCGTAGAGGCACAGGTTCTCCTTGTCTAAACCAAAACCCCCAATTTTTAAATGAAAAAGCAGTATAGTAAATTTGGTAACTAGTAATTTTCTCTTTAAGACGGTTCTCTGATTTAACAAACTTCCTTCAGTCTGGAAATTATTTTCGTGAAATTCAAGTAAATATTATCTCTGTTTTCAAACCAGCAAAATAAATATAGGGAAAATGCATGTAAAAATTCAAACTTGGCTCCAAACTTTTAAAAAAAAAAAAAATTCAAAATTTGACCTAATATAGCATAAAAACTAAGAAGAAAAATTAAATTAAAATTAAACAAAGAAGGACAACTCCGATCTACAATTGCACGTTACCTGGATCACAGAGTCCGTAGAATTCATCGACATCTGAGAAAATTACAAAGGAAGAAGATAAAGGCACGCGTCAAACATAGTTAAAGATAGACAAAACCTAAGAGAGAGAAAGTAGAGATTGGAGTTACCGTAAGTTAAAGCACGAACAACGCCAGCTCGTCTGGAACAATAATCTTTGAAGATCTCCTCGACGGTTCGCGGACTCGAAGCCATTTCCATGGCAAAATAGAGATCTAAGTAAGTTGATTGGATTTAAATAGAGATATGAATTGGATTTTATTGGAGAAATTGGAATTGGAGAGACATGGAGATGGTATCGAAGAAGAAGAAGAAGAAGAAGAAGAAGATTCACATGTAGACGTGAAAATAGCGAAACAGAGTGTTAGATTAACGCTACTAAGGTTATAATTTCTATTTGACACACTCACTTTTTATTACTTCCAAGTTTGAAAACCACTTGGCTGTACCAGAAGCGTTCTAAATATCGACTTAGGAGTGTACCTAGTAAAACTAAGAGTGGAAAAATTGTTTTAATTTTATTTTCAGTTTTTACCTAGTACTAGTAGAACCATTTCATTTAGAAGTTAAATAATACTCATTTTGCAATAGCTTTGTAATTGATAAAAAAACTTCTTTTTAAATAATATTTATTTTTCATGAAAAAATTTAATTGATGAGATTATACCAACATAATATTTTCACTTAAAGTGCTAGATATTAATATTTTAATCCTTAACGTTAATACTATATATTATAATTAAAGTTTAAATGTTGATAATATAGTAGAACATCTCTATAGTCATAATGTTAGGATGAACAAAATTTATTACTATAAGAAGGTTATAACTTAATAGAAGTGTAGTTACAATAATTATTGTGTTGATTACAAAATTATTGTTTTGATTTCTTATTTTATAATTCATGTTTTAGTAGTATTATGATTTCAATTCATTGTTTTAGTGACATTATGATAGTATGGAAATAGATATCAAAGAATCATTACAAAATTGAGTGATCAGATTCGACAATTTCACTACACTAATCAAATGAATATTAATACTTAGTAATAAATGGTGTATGTTTTAATTGAAGAATAAATTATTACTAAAATTAGATAAAAAGAGAAAGGAGATAATCCCGATAATGAATACACTATGGAAATACCAAAAGTTTCGTGCTAAGAAGTTTCAAACATGTTTAAAAGCTAAAAATATTTTAGCTTCAACAAAAAGGTGTCCATGTTGGCGACTTATTATGTACCCGCAAGATAAAATATATGATAACAATTCTCTAAAACATAAATCATTGTCTCAAACAACTTTACATAAATATTTTATTTCACTTTAAACATTTAATGTAACATAACATATTTTTTTTTTATAATATACATATAATTATTATTATGTGGAGACAAGTTCCTTAAGACGGGATCTAAAAAAATTATAACTTATTACAATATAAAATTTATTCTTATTTATAACTAACCCAAATTGAAGATTATTCCTATATAAAGTATTACTAAAGAAAAGTTTTACTCTATTATTATTATTATTATTATTATTATTATTTATGTCAGTTCATCCACTTCAAAAACCATTAGAATTGAATCATCATGATCTAATATTACAAATTTAAGTCAATATAAACCTAATTAAAAAAAATAAAAAGAGGTTATCTGTTCTTATTCAATATTTGGAATTTCTATGATAGAAATTATAAAAGTTAATTAATATGACTCGTTAAAATTCCTTAAAAGACGGAAACTTTAAAAAAAAAAAAAAAAAATTCCATCGTGTCTTCGTGGCGATTGACTTTTGCCCCAAGCCTTGTTTTCCATAACTTTATTTAGTTGTCTCACTTCAGTTTCTAGTTTCCATCTTTAATGCTTGAAAATATGAAGATGACAATGTAAGGAGCCATCGAGGAACGCCTTTTGCTGGTTGTTTCAAAGCTTGTTATTACAGTAAAAATTTTAACACAAGCAAATTTAAACAAGAAAAATACAACTGTTGGGGTCGAGGAAAAGGAAAGGAGGCGGTAATTGCTTTTTTGAACAGGAATAACGGAAACCAATTAGTACGGTAACAGTAATGCAAATAACAATTTAAATTTATAACTCTAATGTATGGAATCCGGAATTCAACAACATATGAATTTCCCTTTCCAGAACCAAAAAACCAGCAAAGAAAACCAAAAGCAAGCTTACATGAGTTTTGATGATCTTTTATTACGATGATATTAATCGTTTAAGTCCAGTTTTCTGCTCCGAGGTAAGCTTGGATGGAAACTTGATGTTGAACTTGATTCTTAAGTTCCCCCTTTTGGAAGGTTCCTTGGGGATAGGCATTCCCTCCCCTTTAACAACTTCTTCATGGGTGGGACTGATGACAGAATTGATGGGAACCGTCAGATTCCGCCCATCAAGTGTTGTCAATTGTGCTGTGTAACCAGTCAGAGCTTCCACAAGAGATATCTTTTGGGTGACTATAAGATCATTGCCATCCCTCTTGAACACACTGTGAGGCTTCTCATCAATGATGAAGACAAGATCGGAGGGTATAACATTTCGCTGTTCATTTCCCTTCTCCGGAAAAGTAATTTTTGTCCCTTTCTTCCACCCTGGCTTCACTTCAATTGTCAGAATTTCCTCAACGGTACTGGGTCTCCTGTGCAACAAAGTAACATATCAGAGATGTACATGAGATTAAAAATAATAAATGAGGTAATAAATCTCTAACTTCCCTATTGTAAAGTTCAATAGCACAATTTTGTTGGTTAACAGATAATACATTAATGAATTAGATTAAATGAGTTAAAGAATGAAGGAATCCTGATGGTATTTTTATTACTAAAATTTCCTTCTACAGTACACATGTTTAATGCTATCAGTTAATAAATGGTTCATTTATTCATATATATATGAACGAAGCTATCATCCCCGTTTTGGTGAGTTTTGGGAGCAATTATAAACCTAAAACCATCAACTGAATAAGACACAAGCGAGGATAAATGGTCCACTCTCTATTCAATAGGCCATGCCTGAACAAATTCTAAACAGCAGCCATCCTCCAAATGAACTCACTTGTTGCCCAAAACCTGAAACAAGATCCAGGTTACTATATGCTACTCGATATATAGACACTAGTGGCCACAAAACTTGATGGGAATTATAAAACCAGTCCCAAGTTTGTTAAGATGCTCCAAAATGCCTCTTGGATCTCTTTTTGACATCACACCAGAAAGAAGGTACAAAATGAGCTTCTGATTTGTTAGCAAGGGAGAACAACAGCCATTAGTAGACAATTTTGCTAGGAAGAACACCCAGGTTTCAACTCTATTATAAAGCTTATGAGTGCCTTTTGATACTGGCATTGACAGACCAGACAAACATAACTCTCATCAGATGCAAATAACAAGGTGAATTAGAAACAGTAAACCGCTTTGCAACCAAATACCATTTGCTTTGTCCTTTAGGTAAAACTGGTGGCATAGCTTAAAAATTAGGAACTGAAACAATAATCATCCATGAAAGTTCTCTTATCACCCCAAGAAATGTGAAAAGACAATGCACATGCACTGCATACATCCTACTAAAATGTAAAGCAGAAATGCATCCACAAACATCTATAACATATCTATAATCTTTCCCTAACTGGCATTACACAACAAACCTGCAAAATAATGAAACTAAGATTACTATAGCAGACAGAATAAATAAAAGACATTTACAATTTCATTACAGCTCATTCAGAAGTTAACTCTTGCAATGCGACTAGTACCTCATTTAGTATGAGAAAAGGTATGGCAGTGATGCCAAAAAAAGTGATACAAAACAACCATTTACCATTTGATAAGCAAATCATATTTCAACTTATTTTCTATAATTAAATCAGATTATGCAAAGAGTGTTAGTTTGTCACTGAGAAAAAAATACATATTAGCAGATGCATAATTGCACACACATGCATGAAAAAAAATCACAGCCACTCCAGTATTTCAGTCGTTGAGTAATTGATACAGATGAAAATAAAAATTGCTCAATGACATAGCAACTATAACCAATAATATCATTAGCATCCATTACTCATATGTTGAATAACATTTCATCAATAATAATCTTATGCAATTACACAATTAGAGGAAATTTTTATTGCCTTTCTGGGTATGCAGATAACTATCTTAATACAGTATGATTTTCCAACAAAAGAATCAATTGTTTAATTAGGATGTCATAGGAGAAGAAGCTAAGTGAAATTTGATAATAGCTACTGATAACCTGTAATTGTACCCACACCCCCCACCCCCCCAAATCCAAAAAAACTCAAAAAAGCACCTGAAGAAGCCACAAAGTCTGCCAAATTACAATTTTCTTTCTAAGAATCGAATAATATCTCGCATTTATAAAGTCGCACCATTGCCATGCAAGCAAATAAGAATTTTCCAAAAAAGATCACTCCACCTATTCCACTTTTCTCAGGTAGAACAAATTGAGAAAAACCAAGTAGTTTTAAACCACAAATTCAGATCGATGTTCATCAAGTCCATTATCTATAATATCAATGTGATTAACGAGTATGATTCAACTTAAATTTTCACCCTTGAATATAGCTAAGTCATGAACTAGACCACATAAAATCAAAACAGTAAATCAGAATTGAAGTTTAATTTAAAACTTAGAAAAAAGAGCTTACCCAGAGGCATCAATAACATCCCTAGAAATCTTCATCTTCTTGGTTGTTCCCTTATACAATTCCTCCAAACTACAAGGCAATGTTCGCTCTATAGCCGCGGCTTTTCTTGGCGCATTCGTAGAGCCTTCGCCGGCTGCTCCTCTAAATGAGGCAAAAATATCATCGCCGAACATACCTCTCGGAAATCCTGAAGCGCTGGCGCGTGAACCCCCCATGTCACCCATCCCTCCAAACGGACTTGAAAACCCGAAAAACTCGGAAAATATATCTTCGGGATTCCTAGTATTGAACCGAAACGTCGTCGATGGCCCACCCGAAAACCCGCCCGCACCAGGTGGCGGTACCTGGCCCTTCAAACCTTCCTCTCCGTACTGATCATACACCGCTCTTTTTTGTGGATCACTCAAAACCTGAAATTAACAATTAATGAATAAATATATACATATAAAAACACAAATACTACACCATTTAGTCAAACAGAGAGGAATTGTACATCATAAGCTTCAGAGATTTGTTTAAATTTGGCTTCAGCTTCTTTCTTGTTGGTAGGGTTCTTATCTGGATGCCACTTCATGGCGAGTTTGCGATATGCTTTCTTCAAATCTTCGTCTTTGGCGTTCCGGTCTACTTGGAGAATCTTGTAATAATCTACACCCATCGGTGGTTCTTCGTCTTTTTGCCTCTTGCGTTTCCTCGTGGTTGGCAGTTATATCTGAAAGTTTTCGATACTTTGCTTAGTTTATGGCCGGAAGTTTTTAATCGCCGACACTGCTGACTGGTGTTACTTTTAAAGCTGGGTTCGGGCTCAGCCCATTGATTCTTGATCTATTATACCGGGCTTCTATACGTCTTGTTACTTACCAACTTTCGGGCTTACGACACGACACGACAAGACTAATGGCAAATTTTAATGTCATGCCTAATGTTTGATTTAAACTTAATACAGCCGCTTCAGTTTCAGCAATTTAATTTGATCTCTCCTAATTTTTTTTCAAAATTATCTCTTACATACCTTACGTCATGAGCTAGGTGCTCGCCAAACGTTAAAAAAGGACTAAAAGGTTGTCTACTACCTAAAAGATATTACATGTGATATTGTTTACCCACGAAATCAAGTGTCACGATCCATATTCCTTACCCAATCTCATTGGCCTTTATAAGAGTACCATTCAGACCCTCATAAGCCCAACATCCAACTGATTACCCCCCAACATTATCATTGGCTTATCCAACTCACATTTAGTTGATTCATTTGGTTTGTGGTAAGATGACATGACTTTAGATTACTTAGAAGTCTTGTGTTCAAGTCATATTGGAAGATTAGTTAAGGTACGCACAAACAATCTTGTGGGTAGACAACAATACTTTACGCGAGGTCTTATATTAATGAGATCTATTCACCCCTTATTGATTTAGGTATCATTCGTCGATTTGAATAACCCATTTTGTTGATTTGGACCACATGACGAAGAACCCAAACTCACCATTTTATTAATTTAGGTATCATTGGATGATTCAACTCACCTATTTGTTGATTTGGATAGCCCACGTGATGAGAACCCCTTTCTAACCCTTAGTTAATTTGCAGAGTTCACATAAAGAGAACTCCCTAAATAACAAACAATAATGCTAAATGTACAAATAAATCTTACAAAGATTTGTGTACAAACTAATGTGGAAAATGAATAGAAGAGTGAATATGATGAGTTTGACTTTTTGTACCCACTTTTCTATTTATTTTCTGCCACATCAGTTTGTACATAAATCTTTGTAAGAGTTGTTTGTATATGTAACATTACTCAATAATAAAACCCTCACATGATGAGAACCCCTTTACGTTTATTAATTTGGGTATCAGTAGCGGCCTGGGTTCGACTCACCGCTTTGTTAAATTGAAGAGCCCACATTATGAGAGCCCTTTGGAGAGCCCACATGATAAGAACCCGCAAATAATGAAACCCTCAAGAACCGCTTTGGACTAATCGGTTCGACTCACTCCTTTATTGATTTGAAGAGTCACATGAAATTGAATAAAGTAAGATATAATTGAAGATTCGAGATATCTAAAATGTACTCTTAGACATATGACCCAACTCAAACTCTTTTCAACCCTAATATTAAAAGGAATGTTACAAAAATAAAATTGGAATTATATATCATTTTATTATCTTAAATTTTCTTTTAAAAATCATATGATATTGTTTTCAATTATCATTAATAAATTGATATTTTTGTCATCTTCGTTGTTAAAAGTAAATCATAAAATGAAACTTGACACACCAAAATTAGTTTAGAATCATAAAATATTAGAATTCTATGTAGTATATATATTTTGTATGAGTTGATTGAGTGATTCTAAGAGCCGTTGATATTTGAATTCAACGTTAAATATACAGCATAGAATTGGGTTGCCAAAAGCAGTAGCCTCTACGTCACAATCTTGTAATAATAATAAACTATAGAAATAGAAATAGAGAAATATTCTCAGCCTTGTCTGGAGAGTAAAAAATAAAAACAAGAAAATAATTTCTCTTAGTCGAGGCACCAAAACCAATTAAAACGCACCATAACCATAACCAGAATAGATCCGACTCAGATTACTGATCATATTCATATTGATGGCGGAGATGGAGATGGGTCAGATCGAAGTATGTGTACCCCGGTCCGTACAAGTGTGGAGAGGATTAATTAATTGGGTCGCGTTTTTGTTTCAGATTTTTCTTCAGATCCTCAGAGGCACGCCTTCCTTTATCTCTTATATAGTAGGTCTTAGAAGTAGACACGTGTCACTTTTTGTTCCTTCTCCTTCTTTTAAGCCCTTGCCTGTCTTTGAAGTTGAACTCCCTGTTCAAGAGTCTTCAGTGGTCCCCACTCACGTGGCTGCCGTTCACGGTAGTGTCGGTGATGATGGTGGTGGTGACGAGCACGCAACCGAGAAGCTCACTGTAAGCTTTCTTTTTTTTTTTTTTTTTTTTTGTTCTCATTTGATATAAATTTTATTAGTTTTTGGTGTTAAATATATAGTGTATTACTCAGTTATATTCTTCAATATCGATGGCAGTTCTTTAAAGAAGAAAGGTGAACTTTTTGTTCGTATGATTATATGTGATTCCATATTTTGTTGAGTGATGATAGTAGCTTTTAGGTGATACTGAGGATCGTTGTGTGATGGATGTTTTAGTTTGTTGTTTTGATTAGAGTATCTGCACTCTAGGTGTATAATATTTGGTGTCAATATTGCCTGCAAAGCTTTAACTTCTGTGGGTTGTAGAAACTGAATCAGTTAGTTCTGCTTTGAGTGTTGGCTATTTATTTCAGGTGTTTTAAATTTAATAAGATTCAATTTAAGAAGATTTTAGTAATTAGTTAGTGTAAAGTTATATCTTGTGTATTATAAACTGCTGTATTGGGAGAGTAACAGGATTTATTGCCATGTAGGTGGTTCTTGACTTGGACGAGACTCTAGTGTGTGCATATGAGACATCTAGCTTGCCAGCCATTATTGGTACTCAAGCAACCGAAGCTGGGTTGAAGTGGTTTGAATTGGAATGCTTGTCTTCGGACAAGGTTTCTATCTCTACTTTATCCTCTATAGTTCCTGCTTGTACTTTTTATTTGGTAGTTACTTAATATGTGATCACTATTTTGTCCATGTTTTGAAGGAATATGATGGAAAACCAAGGATCAATTATGTTACTGTGTTTGAACGACCCGGTTTGCATGAGTTCTTAAAACAACTTCATGAGTTTGCAGATATTGTTCTCTTCACTGCTGGCCTTGAAGGTTTGATGTTTTTCAACAGTTTTATGATCTGTGTTTTGATTTGTTTCCTTTGTTATTCTTTTCATTTCGATTCTTCTGTTTCACCATGCAGGTTATGCTAGACCACTTGTTGATAAAATAGATGTGGAGAACCGATTTAGCCTTCGTCTTTATCGACCCTCAACTGTTAGCACGTAAGCATTGTTGCCAGTTACCTATAGAAAAGTATGTATATTTTTATTTATTATGTTTGTCCAAAGAAGGTTTGGGAGAGGCAAATGCTCCCAAGAAAACCTATTCTAGAGCCACTCAAATTTGACTTGTGATCCTGTAATGTGCTGGTAGGCATGGGGCACGATAATTAGTGAAAATATGACTTAACAGTTGGTGCATCACCAAGTAAAGTCAATCATTGATACATGGTGCTAGTGAGTGGATGGTGAATGCAAAATTTGCCTCGTGTTTAAACTTTGTTGTGAAAGTTTGCCTCATTTCTTATTGGACTGTAAGAGTGCATAAGTTATTGGTTCTTTTAAAAGTGCACTTTCTAGGCGTAAATTGACTATTACTGCTGATGGTTAACAAACAGTGAACTCTTTACTGCACTTCATAGTTAATACTCAAGTTTGATTGGCACTTATCTATGAAATTATAAAAAATTTTAATGTTCATGCGTTGTTCATTTGTTTAAACTAAATCCAAGATCAACTCATATTGAGAAAATTTTGTCGTTCTGAATTACAGAGAATACCGAGAACATGTGAAGGATCTGACCTGTTTAACTAAAGATCTCTGTCGAGTTGTAATTGTTGATAACAATCCCTTCAGTTTCTTGCTACAACCACTGAATGGAATACCATGCATTCCATTCTCCACTGGACAGCCATATGATGATCAGGTGGGTCAACATTTCCATTGCAAAAATAATTTTCTCAAGTTTTCATGATGAGTTGGCTAATGTCCATCCTTATTTCCCCTTTGTTCTGCTATTTGACTTATGTAGCTTTTGGAGGTCATTCTCCCACTCCTCAAGCATCTCTCTCTGCAGAAGGATGTTAGGCCTGTACTTTACGAGAGATTCCGAATGCCTGAGTGGTTTCAAATGCATGGAATACCTGCTGCTGGTTTGACAGTGTGAAAACAAATAAGTTATATTTGGAATAGCTATCATTCGTTGTTGGGCACCTGAGTAGATTGGCCTTATATGGCGGCATTTCAAGAGCAGATGTAGCCAGTTGTATATTATCATTATGTTTAAAGGTGCCATTGAGACTCAGATATGCTTGGTACAAGTAGCTGCAAGTGCCATTGCATCTCTGAGAATATATGTGTGCCGCCCCTTTGTGAAAATCCAGTGCTCTTAAATTCTTTTGTAATTAGGTGCACTCCCATCTTGTGTCAATAGTTATGAAAGGTTTCACAAATTGTTGTAAGAAGCTATCATGCTTGTCCCCATGACAACAATGCTGTATGAAATGCCAATGCTTTATTATTTCATTCTTGCAGCGGGAAATCTGTCGTTTTTCATGTTTCCTCTAGATGACTAATCGTTAAGACTAATCCCACTTTGTTTAACATGTCAAGACAGATCGTAGCATGTGTGCGCATCTCATATTATTCATACACAAAATTTAAATTAGTGGCGCCCCCAGTAAACGAAAACATGTATTAGTCTAGGTGATTCAGAGCCATGCTATGGCAATTTGCACATCTTCAAGTAAAATAAAACTAAAGAGCTCAGTTAAAGTGTAGAGTGTAGACATTGACATTTGACAAAAGCAGCTCGCAGCATTCTAAATTAGTTTCAAAACCACCTTGGTACATTTAACTTGAAATTCATTAGCATTTATTTCAACTTACAAAAATTCCACCTAGCCCTATTTTACATTTTCACCTTGTGTAATATGCTTTCCAAAATCTTCTGCATTGTCATTCTTTATAGCAGCAGCGGTAATTTGTTACAAAGGCATTCTGATGTGTATGACATAGATACAGTGCATCCTATAGCATATTTGCTGCTATCCATTTTCCCCCTCCTGCTTATGTACACAGCGAAAGATCGTCACTTAATAATCTTTGATTTGGCCCATTTGAAAACTAGGAAAATCGGATGGTTTAGCCAGAGCCACCTTGGTTGTCAACAACTGTACGATTTGAAGCATAATGTTACAGTCATCCAAATCATTTAATTGGCATGTCAACTAGCACTGGATGATTCTTCTTTAGATTTGTCTGTCATCGTCTCCTTCTCTGAGTTGTTTATATCTCCAGTCTGTCCCTGGCTTGTTTGTGCCTGACTTGAAGTCTGGGAATCTGAAGCAATTCCCAAAACGGCCAACACAGATCTAAATATGATACATACAAAATCCAACATCAACAATCATAAACTGGCAATGACAGATTTTGGAAGGAAGCAGAAAGAAGCTTTTCCAACCGAAAAAAGTAAAAGTCTTATGCTTCACAAGGAAACATGTTTTAACAGACCTTGGAAGTGAAGAGCGGATATTTAGTTGGCTTGCGTGAGCGATCAAAGGAGCCTTAAGTGCAGCTATTCTATTCAATGCATTTTCCAGCTGTGGTGGCGGTAGCTGGGGAAAATAACAATAACCTGTCAGGAACAGATAAAGAACAATTTTTGCTCCAAAATGCTCAAGTTAAATTAATGCAATAAAAAAGCATAGCCAAATTAGGTAAAAAAGCATAGCCAAATTAGGTAAACACAATTATATTAAACACAAGTAGAGCCAGGCACTGGGATGCATAAATTTAATCTCCATGCAAATAAGACGCCAAGGAATCACTTAAATGCATTAAATGTCTCATGCTATTTTCTGGAGTATTTGACAAAACCATCTTAACAAATCTTAGGGGGTTTTAAGAGTTACAATGGGAAGTTTGGGGGAATATGAGCAATTAGCACACAGCATGTTGTAGAGTTGAGGAAGCAAAATTTTTGGTTCACAATCTCAAGTAGATGTTCCTTAATCCTTATTAATTCTAGAGCTGGATGTATGCCCTGCCTCTTTCTATGACTCTCTCTCTCTTTAGTGTCTCGAACTGCAGAGATTAATTGTATTCCAATCTTATGGGTGCTTTTCTCTTATATCACTGGGTTTCTCTGGCTACAGTATGTTTGTTTTCTAAAATTGCAAATCCCAAGTAAATGCAGGAATTTGTGCAAACTCAGGAACAAATCACCTAAAGAGAAACAGAAGTAACGAGTGACTGATAAAATGTGAGTACAATTCGTATGTGCTTCCCAGAATTAATTACATAATAATATATAACTAATCACACTTTGAAAGAAAAACAATGCACCTGAAGCAACACATTGAATGACTGAGGCTGTGTCAGGTGTGCACATTTCAAGAACCCTACCCACAACTTTGGGTACTTCCATATCTGTAAAAGAGCATTTAGTGGATAAAAAATTAAGCCTAAGCCAAATTAAGATTTGCAACCAGCGAATTGAGATAAAACAGATCACCTGCTTGCTAATAAGACGAGAAAGGATCTCCATTACAAATTCCACCTACATTTCAAGAGATAAAATGTAGCTCATCAATATCTCATCTAAAAGATACTTAATTAGTGCATAGGCTAAGTTCATTTTTATCTTACATTAGTGGGAAAGCAGACAACTAAAAGCGGGAAACCTTAAAGGGACTCAAAATAATAATATATATAAAAAAAAAGAACTTGACTTCCTACAGGAGGCTTTCCCAACTAAATTTAGAAAATCCGTAACATTATTTAGCATTCTTAATGTTAACTTGCTCATCAGCTCAGAACTTCAGTTGTAAAATATCTGGAAGTTAAACATTTGACAAGAAATCAGAAACATTCTTGTCAACCAATCAATGGTTAGTACTGCTATCCCCTAAAAGTGTAAAATAAAATTTGCACCTAAATTTCTTACCAGTGCTGGAAAAGCACCAATAGCTTGCAATACTGTACGCATGAACAATAAGGGTAGAGGAATCTGCTCAACCTACAGGGCAGAAACTTGTCCATCAGATCTTCAGCTAGGGACAGCAGAAGTTCCCACATAGAACTTAAAAGACACAGGATGGTACAAACCAATTGATTCAAGACTTTTGCAAGAACTTGTTGGGTGAAGATCTGCCGTTGCTCAAAACAAGCATTACATGCATCTGTGACCTGATCACAGAATAATAGCATAAGTTATGCAGTTATGCAAAGCTGGCAAGGTTTTGAAAAGACTAAGAAAAATAAATGCCTTCTTCAAGGGAATTCCATCTCTGTCAGGATCAATTCCATGGATAGCTATCAACACTTCAGCTGGAGAGAGCTGCGCACCAGAATTAGATGACCCCTGAGTATCAAAGTTTCAAGTTAAAAAAACAATTAAAATAAGAGCAGACCATTCATCCTACAAGCATATTGAATATGTGCAATTTTTACAAATCAAATTTTATAGTCATTCAATATTAAATAAAGACAAGAAATCAATTATCTCAAGTGTTTTATCAAGCAAATAATTATTGTAAGAAAAATATCTACCCTATTGAGAGGTGCAATAACAATTGATATTCCAATACTGTCAGGAAACATGATCGTATGTATAAGGAACTTAAACCAGAGGTCATAGAGTAAATTTACTGATCAGGAATGATAAAATTTGAGGTGGGCTTGACTACTCACCCAATAAGGCCTTATTGAATGGGAGGATTACCCCCTCTTATAAATCAGTAGGCTTGAGCGTGCCTAGTTGGTGTGAGATTCCAACAAGGAAAAAAAAAAATAAAAAATAAAAAACAAGTGTAACTGCGACCGTAATAATATGCATATATTAGAGAAATGTCCGTGGGAAAAACTTTAGGAATGTACCAAAAAGGTCATCCTCTGAAAAATAATAACATACATATATATATATGTCGCTAGATAGGCAAATTCAAATGTAGCCACTTGAAGTATCCAGTGTCTATAATGTTTGCATTGAGAAACAAGGAAAGAAACATACCTGTAGTGTACGAGCAAGTACTGCCTGGAACTTGTCTAGAGGAAGATTGACAAGACGCGGAAATATCAGCAAGGCCTAAACACAACCAAGCTATTAGAATAATCTAATGTGAAAAAACCAAGGACAAAGCCAATAACAAAAATCTAAAATTCTATGTAAATTAAAGAATTTACTCCACATAAGCAAGAATGCATAAAATGAGTTGAACATAAAAGAGAGGACTCCACCCTGTTAGCAAACAAAATAATAATAATAATAATAATAAAAGACAAGGAAACCCATTTGATTGATAAGCATTAGTTGCTCATACCCAGAAAAAGTTGACATATTTATTGATTTTTCCCTATTTATTTGGAAAATTCCCAGACAAGTTCTTGTTACACGAAGGTTAATTATTGTTTAACAGTTCATAAGAGTTTTACATATCCATAGGGTTTGTGTCCTCAAGCAATTAAAATGCAAAACTTTCAATCGTATGAGTTTCCGGCAGATGATCTTCTCAAAATTCCATGATGATCAAATTCAGCCAATAAATCAGAAAGCGGAAATCAAGAGCTATCATTAAATATTTCATAAACTGATTTTCTAATTTATAATTGCATTTCACAAGATACCCAAAAGTTTCTAACGGCGAAGGACTTTCCTTCAAAATTTTGGAAACTGATCAGTTGATCACCTAATGTTACCAAACAGATGGTGGTCATTCAAGTATTGGAATGAACTTCACCAGAGAGGACCTAAGAGGCAACCCCAACGAGCCAAAACTCACAACTTTGTACGATTCAAGAGCTTTTAGTACTGTTATCAAAATATAACTTGAAAACCAATAAATCCGAAATATTTGAGAGGACAATCTCCATTCCTTCAATATCAAGGAGCCAAAACCAATGTTGCAAATAACTTGTGAGAAATTGTCGATAAAAAGTGTAAAAAAATTGAAAAATATATGAGACAAAATAACCCAATCATGCAAGATGTCAAAAAAGTAAAATATTGTGCGAGACATAATTAAGAATATAGAAATTTAAAAAGGTTGCTTCCATGCATGAACATCCGAGTGTTAACACTTGAAGAATAGAAGCAATTATATCCAAATATCTAAATGGGAAATACCTCCTCTCTCGGCAGGAATGGCAATACTGGAATTAGAATTTCTACATCCTGAAATCAACAAACTCAAGTATATATTAGCAAACCCAATTACTTGGTTCCAGTTAAAGAGAACACAACACATCTATACCTTTAATTTAGAATCATATAACTTCCTAATAGTGAAAATCAATTCTGGTGATGGAACTGTCCCATCTGTCAGTGTATGCAAAACCTGATGTAACAGGAGGGGTGGAGAAAGAAAAGACTTATCAGATAGAGTAACTTTAATCTTTTGCTTGATGTCAATAAATTACATAGGTGTTTATAAAACAAAACCTGCATCAGGAGGCTCTCACTTCCACTTGGAGGATCTGAAATAATTTCGAGTAGTCCAGATGATGAACCCATAGTACGAACCAGTATTGGGATATGACGTTGGACTGCCTGCACCATACAACTAATAAGAGAAAGCTCAGAAAAACAGCAAGAATTGTGACTCTCTTAATCAAATTCAAACAATTCACAGACCTGTTTGACAGCTGTTGATGCATCTTTGTAGATAACAAATATTTGGTGAAAAAGTGAGTGCTTCTGCCAGTCAATGAAACATTCAAACATTAATATTTTCAAAAGATAACTAAAATTAGGCCATTGAACAAATGAGGATTTAAAGCAGAGAGTAAACCTTTGTACACAGGGCAAAATAAAGCGACATGCATCGTTGGGCCTGGGGGATCGAAAGGGATGATGCACTCTGAGTTGTGCATGACTGATGAGTATCAGTGGAAATGTCTTTACCTAAGGCACCGACTGACACAAGATCATTTGATGGTTTCTCCAAATCAGAATCCTGTTCAAAAATGCAATTACAACAGCAAAGTAACTAGCTCAGTATCAATTCCCAACACTATTTATCCTTTGTATGCAGAGAACAAAAATGTCGGGGAGAGAGAGAGAGAGCAAAATCATAGAATATTTTAAAAAAAAGTTATTAAAGAGGTTACAATGAGGGCCTAGGTGATGCACCAAAAACTAAGACTTGTTATCTAATTTAGGTACTATTATATTTTTAGAATTTAGGCTATTAATTGCTTGAGTCAGACCAGGAAATAAACTAAAACATGATTCTCATCAGAGAGAGAGCAAAATCATAGAATTTTTTTTAAAAAGTTATTAAAGTGGTTACAATGAGGGCCTATGTGATGCACCAAAAACTAAGACTTGTTATCTAATTCAGGTACTATTATATTTTTAGAATTTAGGCTATTAATTGCTTGAGTCAGACTGGGAAATAACTAAAACATGATTCTCATCAAGTTAACCATTTCCATTTCTTAAACTTTTCAATTGAACCATGTCCAAGAACATATGTTTGATAACTTTCCAGTTTATTATTGATAGGATATGTAATTGCAAACAAACACAAACATTTAGTAGCTCCAATTTGAACAAAACTTAAATAGGACTATAAATAAAATTAAGTTGCAAAATTGAATTGGTCCAAAGTGAAAATCACATCATCAATGCTTAAAGCATTACCTTGAGTGCTTCAATAGTTGATCCATTGGCATCTGCTCTTTCTGAAGAATCGACATTTATTACAGAAAGCAAAATTTCCCGGGCAAAATCTTCTATTTGTTGAGCAATGGATGATAAAGGATAAAGCTTATTTGCCACCTGTAAGCAAACACATCCAAAATTATATTATAGATCATGCCAAGCAGCTAACCAATTTGTTACATAACAAGTTAGGCACAAGTACCAGTCGTATCGCCTTCATGCGCACTTCCTCCAAGTGATGAACTGCACTCTTTGAGGGGTAAAAGAGAAAAACAAAGTCAATTACAAGACAATTTAAGGACAAGAAGTTTAAAAAAGACAGGAACCGTGACTAAAAACAAGTAAAAAAATGTCTTAGTATCATGGTACAGCATCCTTTTTTTTCTTTCATTAGAATATCATAACAATGTCAATTATGAGGAACATGCATAGCAATTTGCAAGCAGACATCACTATAGTCATAACAAGGTTCAAGATAAGCAGAAAATACCTGCAAAGCAATTCTCAAGCAGACATCTCGCAAAGGAGGCCTCAGCAGGATTAGGCTCCATACAGCACTGAGACCTTGAGTAACTCGGTCTCCACTCTGTAAAAGGAACAGTGAGAATAGTGGTAAAGGTCCTCTTGTGTTCGTAAGATCTTTAAAGTGTTGACTGAAACCGTTTATCCCTTGAAGTGTTTCGTTAGATGAATTTCTAAACAGACTTCCACCTTTACTTAGAGCTTCACAAAGTCGGACGTAATTTTTTTTTTTTTTTTTTTAAAAAAAAAATTCCTAAGACTGTTTACCTTGCATTGATGAAATGAACACTGGAAAGCAATACATACCACAGTCAATAGGAATGTTTCATATACAGCAGAAGCAGTTGTAGAAGAAAAGAAGTCACGTTCCTCTTCTGCCTCTCCATATAATCTGTACAGTACACGCAATGTCAACTCTTGTCCCTGAAGACATTCAGTGATTGTTGTCAGCAACAATGCATCTCATACAAATCAAAGGGTGCAGAAGCAATAAGACTGTTTCTGAAATTCATGAAACAATAACTAGCAGAACAGACATCAGTAGACATAAAATTTTTAACAATCTAGGATTTTTAATTATCAAACATGTCAATGATTCTTTTGAACCATCAACCATCTGAGAAATAAAAATGATTTCTTCAAGCTAATGCACAATAGTCGTTTAGAAGACATTTTCTTAACTACTCAACCTCAAAAAGAAACATAGATATCCAGGACATCATAAATATCAGCACAAAAAAATAAAGCTTTAACGTACACTTACCTCATGATTCACATAATCTTCCAAGATGTGCTCCTGTAGTGGTTTCCATGGGTCCAACTCTGAGGGAAACTGAAAAAACATAAGATAAAAGAATCTATGATTACTAGTAAAACAATACTCTAATGTGAAGTAGTGAATAACTTTACAAATACTCTTCGTAGCAACAGATAAGACAACTTAGTATGATAAAAAAAAATTGGAAAAGCAGACACAGAATGTAATCAGAATTACATGCTAAGCAATTCATCCATAAACAACTTTACTGTGGCAAGAAGGAAATCTCATAATAGTTTCATCATTATATTTCACTCATACAAAGGAAAAAAAAGAAAGAATAAAACAGCAGCATGCACAGAGTTGATGGTGAAAGGTGAAAGCCGCTGTTAAACCCTAAACAATCACATAAATAAACATATGGAGAGCTAATCATGGGTAAATGCACCAGATATATCCTTCAAATCCAGTGTTTGATTGAATTATATTGAACAAGCTAAAAGAAAACTTATAACAAATCCTATAAACCCAAAATAAATAGAAGAAAACTTTAAGTTGATAGCAGCTATACTTTCTACATGCAGCATCAAACTTTAGTTCTAAGATACCATACTTAGCACATGGGTCAAACAATGTCGAATCTACCGTATTGAAAGCATTAGGATTCACAGGAAGTAGAATTTGTGATGTAACATAGTTTGCAAAATCAATTAGTTTTGTACAAATTTATGTTTACACATGAGAAAATAATACATCACTGCAGGTTTGAGAATGAAGGGGGTTTTCCTCCTATCTACTACATGAACAAAGAATACAGAAATAACATCATAGGGAACCAGCTCAACAAGCAATAAATATCAGGCACATAAAAAGCAACATTCGGAAAGGAAATAAAGATGCTTGAAAGCCAGAATATCTACCTCAACTCCTATATAAGCAAGTAAAGAAAAACGGATTTGTGAACCCCCAGCAACTGCTACTTGTTTATATGCCTCAAGAATGCGCATAAAAGCCAAGTTTTGTAATTGATCCTTTTGCTCATCAGCAAGGTCAACAACAGGTGCTGACATCTTGGGTAGGGCAAAAGGAGAAGACAAAGTGACAGAACTAGCTGTTGAGGCAATCAGACTGTTAGGATCCGTAGTAGCTGCTTTCGGACTAGTCTCTTCTGACCTAGACCTATCTGTTGAAACTGATGGCAAATCAAGCAGTGACCTCTCACCAGTTTCTTGCTCTTGACTGACATCTTCTATGTCTTTTGTGGCCAATAAGGAAGTAACAAAGGTCTCTGAAAAACCATCATTACAAGCAGAAGAATTCAGACCAGGTATATCACTCTCTAGACTTCCCACATCATGGTTATCAGAAGAAATGGATAAATCAGAATTCTCCTTTTTGGGCAAAACATCAGAAGAAGCCACTACACCAGTAGGTAAAGCTGCAACTTCAGCTTCGGGGGTAAAGCCATCGAATAAAACAGCACCATCAGCCACAGCCGGTGCAAGAAGTTCTTCCTCCCTCTGTGGTTTCTGCAATTTGAGTAAATATTTGCTTTATAGGTTAAAAAGAAACAAATTAAAAAGGATCAGACAAGTATTTTCTTTTTTCCTTTTAATTAGAAAAACAGAATCACTAAAATTCATTGTACCGCTGCATCATTGGCCATTGAATGTTGTTCATCAAGCAGTGAAGCTATCGGCAGGAAACTACTAGAAAGTGAAAGAACATCAGCCAAGAAAGATGCTGGATACTTGGCTCCAGTGTCACTGCCAAATATAGTCATTTCCAGTACTGATTCTTCATCTCCATCAGCTTGAGAGCAGTTGAGAGGAAGGTTACACATATTAGCCATCACTACCTCAGCTAGCAAGTCAGCCGAGATACTTGAAATAAGAATCTGTAAGGATCTAATGGCATTTTCACCTTGAGCAACCAAGACACCAAACATGGCAACAAGCTGCTGTACAGGTCCAGTATCACCATGTCCTTTGTTAGAGGCAGACCCAGTTGACGGAATTTGATCCTGAGACACAATAATATTCCTATTCAAAGCTTTACTTGATTCTTCTGAGACACTAAGTGTTGATCTGACACGTTTTCCAGACACTTCATTTTCTTCATCTGGATCACTGTTGTCGTCTGCTCCAGATCTCTTTCTTCCCAAGTTAGTGCGCACATCATCACAGGCCTGGATGGAGGGTTTCTCTTCCTTTAAAATATGAGATTATTAAGAAGTTCCAGACTTTCATTTCCAAACATCATTGTGCAGGTGCAAGTGAATGCATAAACATATAACCATATGCATATAGACTAACATTTACAAATAGAATAGGTACCTTAATAACTGGCAAATCATTTTTAATGTCTTCCACACTTCCATTAGCCTTGCAAACTTGACTTAGGGCTCGCTCTGCCAGCTCTCCAGCTTTCATCTCTTTCAGGGCATCAACTAGACGATCCCGCCACTACAGAAATCAAATTTGCATTACCAATCAGTATACTCAGTGCCAGTTTAATAGATAATGACACAAAAATTACTCAAGGAAACTGATAAGGAGCCAAATGAGACAGAAACTCTCTAAACCCATGAAACTTCTATCCAATTAATAAAATTAAATAAAGATATCTAAGCAAATTTAACCTCAAAATTATGAACTCATTTGCTATGCCTGCAGATGAAGCCGACTACCGTTAAATCTTTTGCATTTTTTAGAAACTAACCAATCATATTTAAGGGGAATGAGGAGGGATAATGTTATGTAAGGAGCACATAACCAAGACTATACATCTAAAGACTTAAATTACATTATCATAAGAATAAAACTTTAGTGATAATTGACTGTTACAATTTAGGAACACCAACAAAAAGGCATAAAGAATCTAGTGATCACATAATACATCTAAAGATCCAGATCCATTCTTTCAATCTATTTTACTGTACAGATCTATGACTGTCCACATGAAAACTCTGGAGACAAAAAATTCAGAATATTATTTATTCATGAAGTAGAAACACTTAAACATCAGTGAACCCAGAAGACTAGAGAATGACAATGAATTAAAATAAACTTCACCCATTCTGTTAAAAGATAATATATTTGAAGGGAACAAGAAATACCGGTGCAGCACCCGGGTGTGTACATTTCAAGCAGCTGAGGAGGGCATTTTTAAGAGCATGATGAGCACTAGAAAGATGCATTCCTTTGATGACAGAACTTGGAGGATCTAGAGCAAGTAAAACTGGCAAAATGCGTCCATAATATGCAGGCCTTTTCTTTGCAATTGCTGAAAGACTGAAAAGAAACATTAAAAAAAAAAGAGGGACTATTGCTTACATGTACTTGCCAGATTTGATTTTCTTCAAAATGAAGACAATGTGGCGTTTTACATAGCAAACAAATAGAATTGTAATTAAAAACGCATACAACTGGAATAGGCCACATACCTATTGATAAGAACAACAATCACTAAGCTACTGAGAGATTTTACTGTTGGGAACCTAAGCTGATCAAGCAATAATCCCAACTTCTCACCAGCCTCAATTGATAGATCTCCCATGTTCAGTACAGGATGGCCACCACGAAGCCAAGATATATTGAACTCCACAAGGTTTCCTACAATATAGTTGCCACACTGAATAAGCAAATACAAGTCATTTAAGATGGTAAATGACATATTAAAAAGGCATACTCATCTTTCCAATTAACAAAGTCTGAAAGGAAAAGAATGAAATGTATCACCTTCATCAGGAGAGGGTTTTAGAGAGCCGTTAGGATCAGGTGTGTACAGAAGTATAACTGCTTCGACAAACTTCAACGCTAGCAATCTTACCCCACCACTTCCCTGATTATTAATATGAAGTTGCAATAAATCAGACCACACACAAAATCCAGCTGTATAGTACCATCAAAATCATCACTTACCTGAAAAGCCATCAAATATATCTTCTCCTTGAACTTTAATATCCATGTCCATGATGATTCAACGGAATTGTCCAACTCACTCGAGTGCAGACCCTAAATTTACCCAAATCACATAAATAAACATATGGAGAGCTAATCATGGGTAAATGCACCAGATATATCCTTCAAATCCAGTGTTTGATTGAATTATATTGAACGAGCTAAAAGAAAACTTATAACAAATCCTATAAACCCAAAATAAATAGAAGAAAACTTTAAGTTGATAGCGGCTATATTCTACATGCAGCATCAAACTTTAGTTCTAAGATACCATACATAGCACATGGGTCAAACAATGTCGAATCTACCGTATTGCAAGCATTAGGATTCACAGGAAGTAGAATTTGTGATGTAACATAGTTTGCAAAATCTATTAGTTTTGTACAAATTTATGTTTACACATGAGAAAATAATACATCACTGCAGGTTTGAGAATGAAGGGGATTTTCCTCCTAACTACTACATGAACAAAGAATACAGAAATAACATCATAGGGAACCAACTCAACAAGCAATAAATATCAGGCACATAAAAAGCAACATTCGGAAAGGAAATAAAGATGCTTGAAAGCCAGAATATCTACCTCAACTCCTATATAAGCAAGTAAAGAAAAACGGATTTGTGAACCCCCAGCAACTGCTACTTGTTTATATGTCTTAAGAATGCGCATAAAAGCCAAGTTTTGTAATTGATCCTTTTGCTCATCAGCAAGGTCAACAACAGGTGCTGACATCTTGGGTAGGGCAAAAGGAGAAGACAAAGTGACAGAAGTAGCTGTTGAGGCAATCAGACTGTTAGGATCCGTAGTAGCTGCTTTCGGACTAGTCTCTTCTGACCTAGACCTATCTGTTGAAACTGATGGCAAATCAAGCAGTGACCTCTCACCAGTTTCTTGCTCTTGACTGACATCTTCTATGTCTTTTGTGGCCAATAAGGAAGTAACAAAGGTCTCTGAAAAACCATCATTACAAGCAGAAGAATTCAGACCAGGTATATCACTCTCTAGACTTCCCACATCATGGTTATCAGAAGAAATGGATAAATCAGAATTCTCCTTTTTGGGCAAAACATCAGAAGAAGCCACTACACCAGTAGGTAAAGCTGCAACTTCAGCTTCGGGGGTAAAGCCATCGAATAAAACAGCACCATCAGCCACAGCCGGTGCAAGAAGTTCTTCCTCCCTCTGTGGTTTCTGCAATTTGAGTAAATATTTGCTTTATAGGTTAAAAAGAAACAAATTAAAAAGGATCAGACAAGTATTTTCTTTTTTCCTTTTAATTAGAAAAACAGAATCACTAAAATTCATTGTACCGCTGCATCATTGGCCATTGAATGTTGTTCATCAAGCAGTGAAGCTATCGGCAGGAAACTACTAGAAAGTGAAAGAACATCAGCCAAGAAAGATGCTGGATACTTGGCTCCAGTGTCACTGCCAAATATAGTCATTTCCAGTACTGATTCTTCATCTCCATCAGCTTGAGAGCAGTTGAGAGGAAGGTTACACATATTAGCCATCACTACCTCAGCTAGCAAGTCAGCCGAGATACTTGAAATAAGAATCTGTAAGGATCTAATGGCATTTTCACCTTGAGCAACCAAGACACCAAACATGGCAACAAGCTGCTGTACAGGTCCAGTATCACCATGTCCTTTGTTAGAGGCAGACCCAGTTGACGGAATTTGATCCTGAGACACAATAATATTCCTATTCAAAGCTTTACTTGATTCTTCTGAGACACTAAGTGTTGATCTGACACGTTTTCCAGACACTTCATTTTCTTCATCTGGATCACTGTTGTCGTCTGCTCCAGATCTCTTTCTTCCCAAGTTAGTGCGCACATCATCACAGGCCTGGATGGAGGGTTTCTCTTCCTTTAAAATATGAGATTATTAAGAAGTTCCAGACTTTCATTTCCAAACATCATTGTGCAGGTGCAAGTGAATGCATAAACATATAACCATATGCATATAGACTAACATTTACAAATAGAATAGGTACCTTAATAACTGGCAAATCATTTTTAATGTCTTCCACACTTCCATTAGCCTTGCAAACTTGACTTAGGGCTCGCTCTGCCAGCTCTCCAGCTTTCATCTCTTTCAGGGCATCAACTAGACGATCCCGCCACTACAGAAATCAAATTTGCATTACCAATCAGTATACTCAGTGCCAGTTTAATAGATAATGACACAAAAATTACTCAAGGAAACTGATAAGGAGCCAAATGAGACAGAAACTCTCTAAACCCATGAAACTTCTATCCAATTAATAAAATTAAATAAAGATATCTAAGCAAATTTAACCTCAAAATTATGAACTCATTTGCTATGCCTGCAGATGAAGCCGACTACCGTTAAATCTTTTGCATTTTTTAGAAACTAACCAATCATATTTAAGGGGAATGAGGAGGGATAATGTTATGTAAGGAGCACATAACCAAGACTATACATCTAAAGACTTAAATTACATTATCATAAGAATAAAACTTTAGTGATAATTGACTGTTACAATTTAGGAACACCAACAAAAAGGCATAAAGAATCTAGTGATCACATAATACATCTAAAGATCCAGATCCATTCTTTCAATCTATTTTACTGTACAGATCTATGACTGTCCACATGAAAACTCTGGAGACAAAAAATTCAGAATATTATTTATTCATGAAGTAGAAACACTTAAACATCAGTGAACCCAGAAGACTAGAGAATGACAATGAATTAAAATAAACTTCACCCATTCTGTTAAAAGATAATATATTTGAAGGGAACAAGAAATACCGGTGCAGCACCCGGGTGTGTACATTTCAAGCAGCTGAGGAGGGCATTTTTAAGAGCATGATGAGCACTAGAAAGATGCATTCCTTTGATGACAGAACTTGGAGGATCTAGAGCAAGTAAAACTGGCAAAATGCGTCCATAATATGCAGGCCTTTTCTTTGCAATTGCTGAAAGACTGAAAAGAAACATTAAAAAAAAAAGAGGGACTATTGCTTACATGTACTTGCCAGATTTGATTTTCTTCAAAATGAAGACAATGTGGCGTTTTACATAGCAAACAAATAGAATTGTAATTAAAAACGCATACAACTGGAATAGGCCACATACCTATTGATAAGAACAACAATCACTAAGCTACTGAGAGATTTTACTGTTGGGAACCTAAGCTGATCAAGCAATAATCCCAACTTCTCACCAGCCTCAATTGATAGATCTCCCATGTTCAGTACAGGATGGCCACCACGAAGCCAAGATATATTGAACTCCACAAGGTTTCCTACAATATAGTTGCCACACTGAATAAGCAAATACAAGTCATTTAAGATGGTAAATGACATATTAAAAAGGCATACTCATCTTTCCAATTAACAAAGTCTGAAAGGAAAAGAATGAAATGTATCACCTTCATCAGGAGAGGGTTTTAGAGAGCCGTTAGGATCAGGTGTGTACAGAAGTATAACTGCTTCGACAAACTTCAACGCTAGCAATCTTACCCCACCACTTCCCTGATTATTAATATGAAGTTGCAATAAATCAGACCACACACAAAATCCAGCTGTATAGTACCATCAAAATCATCACTTACCTGAAAAGCCATCAAATATATCTTCTCCTTGAACTTTAATATCCATGTCCATGATGATTCAACGGAATTGTCCAACTCACTCGAGTGCAGACCCTAAATTTACCCAAAAAAAAAAAAAAAAAAAATTGTACAATATCATATACTAATTAGATGAAGATAATAATGTAAACTCAAAACTCCAACATGCTTCACAATAATTAACAGCTATAGTTTGACTGTCTTTCTTACAGTTCAGCTAAATGCAATGATACTATAGCAATTAAATGATACAATAATCAACTTAAAAAGTCCGAAATAATAAATTAAAAATGAAAGCAACCTGAATTGCAAGTTTTACAAGGGTAGAACGAAATAGATCAAGTCCACAAGTAATAGCTTGTCGAGCTACAGCTGGAGCAGAATCGTCAAGAACACTGATAAGTACAGGCATAATTTCGGGTAAAAACTGCACATGTTTTAATCCAACTTCACCAATAATCCTATAAATAACAAAAAAAAAAAAAAAAAAAATTAGAACTTAATTTAATGTGTTTCAATCAGGGGAAGATTGAGGTGAAGCGTACTCAGTGACAAACTTGCGAACCGGAGCAAAGGAATCGGATTGAAGGTCGAAGATACGAGGGAGAATTTCTGAGATAACAATGACATTTTCTTCTTCGATCAAATCTTGCTTTAAACGACGCAAGTATTCGAGTTTTAATGGTATGTCCATGGCTGCCTTGGTCGAGAATACTAAACTCGCGTATGTTTCTCTCGAGCTCGAATTCGTCATTCCCACCATAATTGTTGTAAATCAAAAACTCTAGTTGTCTAGTTTTCAGCTTCGTATCATCGGAGATTGAAGAGGAGATTTTGTCGCTAGGGCTCAGTAACTTCAATTAGCTTCGGTATAACGTACGGCAGTTACCGGTTAAGGGCGTTTTTGGTTAAAAAAAAAACATTGGGTTACATTCAAGTGATCAAATTTCTTTAACTATCAATTTTTCAAATTTAAAGAGACATGGTGCGTACATGATACACAGTACATACGTATACGAATGAAAATTCTCTAGTAATTCTTTAATTTTGTAATTACTAACCTTTAAAAAATATATAAATTTTAATGAAAATTGTCTTGATACAATTATATTAACATTGTATTTAAATATCGTTGGATTGATTGAAATGCTATTTTATTTATATTAATTCATCTTTGATTAAGCACGTTGATTAATAAACTATAAGAATTAGTTAATAATTCTTTAATTTTGCAATTACTGACCTTTTAAAAATATTTTTCCATGCCAAAATGCAATCGTTTTTTCTTAAAGGAATACATAAAAGAAAATCTCTTGTAAATTAATTTATTAAGAACATATGAACACTGAGATAATTGGAAATCTTAATTGCATTATATCACATATTTGCTTCATCAATGTTACAGCTTAAGTTGCAATGGACATATGGACTTTAGAAAAGGACATGCTTTAAGTACCAAAAATCCACTTATTTTGAGTTTAATCATTTGTTCAATTTTTTCCCCTCTATTTACGTTTTACCTATTTAATTTCAAATATTGAAATGTTATTCAATTTTACAAGCCATAAAAGTAGAATTGAAATTTTGATTATTAACTAAATACTCTTGACTCTTGCATTTGCCCAAGAGGTTTTGAAAGAAATATTAACTAAATCGAATATTGAATTATGAGATGACCTATTCAAAATATATGAAACCAAAGGGTTTAGAAAAATATCAAAAAAGACAAGGGGACTTTGGAGAGAAATACACCAAAATAAGTTTAGTTCCGGTGCCTGGGGTTGAGCAGTTGAGGATAAGAGAGAGAGAGAGAGAGAGAGAGAGATGGCAATTCAACTGAACCACCTCTACGCATCAACTTGGCAGCATGGGCAACACACAAAGCAATTCCTCTTCACCTCCACAAAAACAAGACCACTTCAAATTAGTGCAGTTATGCCCAGCAATGCGAAACTGCTAATACAGTCCGGTGTGGTCCGGCCTATATCGCCAAAGGAAGCAGTCCCGGCCATGAAGTCTGAAGGATTTGTACTCTTGGACATAAGGCCCGAGTGGGAGAGAGAAAAAGCACGAGTTTCGGGATCACTGCATGTACCACTCTTCGTTGAAGACAAAGACTATAGTCCCATTACTCTTTTGAAGAAGTGGGTTCATTTTGGGTACATTGGGTTATGGACTGGCCAAAATTTCACCATGTTTAATCCTGATTTTGTTCAGCAGGTGGAGCAAGCAGTTCCTGATAAGGATACTAAGCTTCTTGTAGCATGTGGTGAAGGGCTAAGGTGAGGATATTATTTCTTTAAAAGCAAGTTTTGGTACATTGGTTTTGTGTTAATCTGTGTTTGGTATGCATGATATTAGGTCGATAATGGCAACTTCAAAGTTACATGAAGGAGGATACAAGAACTTGGGATGGTTGGCTGGAGGGTTTAACCGTGCTGCTGAAGATGATTTCCCAGGAGTTGAAGGGAAAGAAAAACTGCAATATGCTACAATTGGGGGTGTATCGTACTACTTTCTACAATTGCTGTTGCTTCTTCAAGGCGTGGGTAAGAGTAATTGATTAGCTCTTCTGTGTGAGAGTAATTAGAATCCCCTCTGTTACAATGTCAACTAATGTGTTAAGAGTAATTTGAATAACCTATGTTTCAAAATATTTTTGTAAAGTTTATGTTGTTGGTTAATTATGAACACGATGTGATAAAACAAACTTATCTATCCGGTTCTCATGGATGTATATCGTTGAGAAACCCAACACCAGTTTTGTTACATTTACAGGTAAAATTTAAGTTGACAATTTCCGGACCCAAGGCCACGCAACGTCACAGCCCCCCGTTAAACGCCTTTTCATCTGCAGAAAATTACAAACGCTTGTTTTATTTTTAAAAAACTTGCATTCAACATTCTCTATCACAGAATGCATTCCATCTGCATAAATTACAAACTGTTTATAAAAAAAAAACTAGCATGCATCATTCTCTATCACCGTTAAAACTTGGTAAGTTCAATCTCAACATCCTCCGACAATATAAAACATCCACATATCAACAAACATAATTCATCACATGCATGTTAATCAACATGGGCACTTGAAAAGTTAAACTAATATTATTTTCTTCAAAGCAAACTGTTGACAGGCCCTAATCCTCCATCATACTGAAGTTCAAAATTCAAGGAAATGCAGAATAAAGAACCATAAAAAAGAACAGCTAAGTCAAATATTATACACAAAGTACATCTCACTGGATGTAAACTACATTTAAATGGTTTGCAGAAGACAAAGGATCCTGCACCGATCTTCAGCTGAATTCCCCAGGTTGAAAAGTCTGCCTGAAAAATGATTAAGCTTTAATTTGACAACATAGAAAACAGTTACAAGAAAATAAAAATTGGAAAAAAAACAGCTTAATAGCACTTCAAGATGAGCAATTATTCTAATTTCATTCAATTGGATATATTTTACCAAATTGGCTGCTATTCTTGATATAAAATAAAATACCTGTTGGCTATCATCTCAGTATTCTTCATACCTCACCTCTTTTCTTTTATTCGGATCGACTGGCGAACCTCTCAACCTTCTCATCCTTCAAATTGAGCCCCACCATGGCTTCACCCAACCCGCAACTCACCTCCGCCACCACCTCCGGGTCACTATAATGCGTCACAGCCCGTACAATAGCCTGGGCCCGCTTCACAGGGTCTCCACTCTTGAACACACCGGACCCAACAAAAACCCCGTCACAACCAAGCTGCATCATCAGCGCCGCGTCCGCCGGCGTCGCCACCCCGCCGGCCGCGAATTGCACCACCGGCAACCTTCCCAACTGCTTCGTCTGCATCACCAAATCGTACGGCGCCGCAATCTTTTTCGCGAAAGTGAACACCTCATCATCGTCCATGTTCCTCAAAACCCTAATATCACCCATCACGGACCGCACATGCGTAACGGCTTCGACAACATTCCCGGTACCAGCCTCGCCCTTGGTCCGTATCATCGCCGCACCTTCGCGAATCCGCCGCAGGGCCTCGCCTAAGTTCCGGCAACCGCAAACGAAGGGAATCCGAAAGTTGTGTTTGTTAATGTGGTTCTCTTCGTCGGCCGGAGTTAAAACTTCACTTTCGTCCACGTAATCAATCCCTATGGCTTCTAGAATTTGAGCCTCAACAAAGTGGCCTATACGGGCCTTGGCCATGACGGGGATTGTAACGGACTGTTTGATTTCTTTAATAAGTTGTGGGTCTGACATGCGAGCCACGCCGCCTTGCGCGCGAATATCGGCAGGGACACGCTCAAGAGCCATGACGGCACAAGCGCCAGCTTCTTCGGCGATACGTGCTTGCTCGGGAGTAACGACGTCCATTATGACGCCGCCACGGAGCATCTGGGCGAGACCTACTTTGACGGAGAAAGGAGATTTCTTGGTCTCCGTCAGTGCGCCGTTACCGTAGACAGCTACCACTCCGGTTCCTGCCATTTTTTACGGTGGAATAAAGAGAGAAATTAGCTAATGAGAGTTTTGACAGAGAGAGGCGGCGATAGAGAAGAGAGGTGGCGAGGTGTATAAATAGAGAAGCGTTGTTTTTGAATGGTTGTAGTGCGAGTAAGAAAGTGGGACCAAAGAGATCTGGTTTAAGTAGAGTTGAGAGTATTTTGATCGGACGGTTGAGAGAGAGGCTGTTAAGTTGTTTGATACGATTGATTAGAGGCCACGCGATCTTGGTATGCGGAGCCTCGGGTACCGGAAATAGTCTACGTGGGGACTCACGTTTCCATTCGTAATCGTGTTGTTGTGCTGGTTCCAGAAATACTGTGTATAGAACAGTGCCTAATGTAACAAATTCCACATTGAAAGCATATTGGGGAGGTTTTAGTTTATAAATAAGGGGAGTCCTTCTATCTAATAGATTAGTCTTTTGGGTGTAAAACTCCTAGTCTGTGACAAGTGGTATCAGAGCAGACCCAATCTGTCTTTCGATGTCCTGCCAAGCGCCCATGCAGGGGTGTCCACGTGTGATTATGGATCCACACGAGAGTGAAGTGAACGGGTAGATAGGGGGCCCTATCTGTGACGAGGGCATCACAGGATTGGATGAGAGAGAATGTAACAAATCCCATATTGAAAGCGTATTAGGGAGGTCTTGGGCTTATAAATGAGGGGAGTCCCTCTACTTAATAGGTTAACCTTTTGGGTGTGAAACTCCTAGTCCGTGACACTAAACCTAACTCGAAAAAGAATATATTATTTTAATGTCAGAGACGAGTCAGACCAAAAAAAGCAAAAAGTTGAATTAATTAATTTTCTGAAACCGTATTCGTTTGATTAGATTTTGATGATTACTTATTATGAAATGAAATATATAGGCCACATTGAATAAATTTGTTGAATCACTGAGATTGTTTTTGGAAATCTTATAATGAATCTTGCTCTCGGAAATATCGGTGGACAGTACACGGTAATTACTTCTTTTCTTCTCGTACAAAATTAAATAAAAAAAAAAAAAAAGTTGATTTTATGATGTATATTTAGAGGCTGCAAAGAGGGCAGTGAAGGGGGCCACTCGTTACCAATCTTGATTACCCCACTTCGCTTTGAGAAAGGCGTCTTCCACTTGTCTTCATTTTATTATTATTAATTAATTAATTCAAGGTGGCTTGGTATTTTTACTTGGGGTGGTGTTTGGAGAAACTTGCGTTTTTGACTGTCTTTATCATAATTCAAAACGAAATCGAATTTTTGTTCTCCTTCACTTTAATTATTACCTTCGGCACATGCACATACATTCATCATTTTTCTTTTCCGTCTAAAGACTGAATTAATTATGAATATATAATCATCACTTCACCGCCTCCCCTGTCTTACTCCGACGAACAAATATTATTAGAGTAATCTAGGATAAAAAATTTTATTATAGAGTGATCTAGGTTAGTATGTTAAAAAACTTGTAAAATAGTATAGATTATGATAAAATTAATCAAATTTTCCAGGATCATAACCACTAGAGTTCATACAACCATTTCTTTGCATTGAGTTGCTTTGTTTTTTCTCTTAAGGCCGCGTAAGTGGATCTCAATCTTTTTCTTTTGCCGTAATATGAACAGTAGAGCTCCAGCACTACGACGAATGCTTTGTTTGATCATCAAATGAAAGCAAAGAAGATAAAGCTACATTTTACTTTTCAAATACAGATCCAAAAATGTGCATTAATGGTATTACACAGAGGAAAGCCACCTGGAAACAAAAAAAAAAAAAAAAAAAAAATAACAATGGGCATTCCTCTGAAGTCTATGCTTTTAGACCATGTATGAATTTGAGATGATATACATTGACAAGAGGCAATGATATAGACAAGATAATCTGGCTGCAAGTTATTCAACTAGAATCTACAGGCATATCAAAGAGCTGCATATCTCTTACACCGTAAAAATCTTCCTAACCTTCTTCATATTCCTCCGACAAACAGGACATGTACCAGCAGCCTCTGCTATCCTGTAGAAAAATTAACAAAACATTTAGCCAAGTAATTTTACAAGATAAGCAACATTGTCATTCCAATATTCAGATACATTCTTTAGAGAAGAAGTCTATAATGTCTCATATGTATATTATCCTGTATTTGAACTGTACATAACATGCTAACGATTAACTTAAATGGGGAAACCTAGAGCCATTTCAAGGTTTGTCCTCATGGGGTAACAGAATAATTGGCACCAAAAACACTACTAACTCATATGCAATCTAAATCTGGTCCATGTCAAGGATGGAACAGTTTAAAGAAACTAATTTGATGTAAATGTAAGGTCAGGGAGTGGTTACCTTGTTCCACATTCAAAACAAGCTACACAATGCCCACATGGGAGGAAGAAACAGTCCCTTGGTGCATCAAAGCAAATCGCACAAAGACGGCGAGTATTATTACCGTTTTCACCATCTCTTATTGACTTCCCTTCAAGGCCAGAAGTAGCCAGAAACTCTTCAAGATCCTGCTCATCATTTGAGACAGAATCATAAGATGAACCCCAACTTGAGAGATCATCATCTTTGTATGAAAGCAAAGGTGCTCTGGCAGATTCAATATTCCCATATCGAATTCCTGCTCCATCTTCACGTGTAAATCGGAATTTGTTTAAAAAGTTGAAGGCCACCAACATGAGCAAGGTCATTCCACCTACAAGCAGGAATAGAAGAAAAGGTTAAAAAAAAAAAAAAAAAAAAATTGTATAAAAATGAATGTTATTAGAAGAAACAGTAGATATATACCTATGCCAACAACATATGTAAGCCATCTCGGTCCATATGAAACTCTAACGTACCAATCCTCACTGGTTGTGCTCTGAAGCAGCCAAAATACCACAAATATGTAAACAACCCCAAAAATTAGGAATAGAAGCATAATCAATATAGAGGGCATGGTCAGAATATATTTTACCAAGATCTTTAGCATGAAACCAGAACTAAAAAACCTAACTTTACAGGTATCCCATAGTAATCTCTTCTTTATTACTCATTTCAATTTTAAAAGTTCTGTAATACTAACCTCCCTTGAGGTTTAGCATAATCTCAAAAACCTTCTATCAGGTCTACAAAATAAAGTCAACCAATTGTCTTAGATGTTAGCTATAGAGTCCTTTCCTCCCTTGGTTATATGTTACTTTCTTTCTAATGGAAGATTGCTTCTTTCACAATTTTGGACATTGACTATCCTTGCCTAATATTTAACTTATGCAGATGTTCAACAACAAGAAACTGAGTTGATCATCCAATGCCAAATTGTTGACGTCTAAAAAATCCATACAACACCAAAAAAAAAAAAAAAAAATACACATCATTTCCACCCCAGATTAAAAAATTGGAATGATTCTGCTTCCTTGACCATTGCCCTTACATCTACCATCAACATGGGGTTTCATCCAAATTTCCATGAACTTCATTCCAGTTCCACCAACACCACATTTCCATTTCTACCACCTTTTCACTATAAATTAAACCACCATGAAGAGAAAGGTGCTAAATTCAGAGTAGTTTTCACAGATAATAAATTTATTGCTTTAGGAATCCTAAACAAGCTGAGAACAAAAAAGGTGAAGTTACTGCTCTGATTAACACCAAATAAATCTGACAGGTAGGTAATTGTTATTTTATAAGCCTCAAGGCACATCCGGGTAGTAATGCCAAACAGGGCAGACAGTTCATTGTACTACAACAAATCCACATAAGCATTAGAATTCCTCCAGATCCCTAAAGATATGAAAGTTAGATTTGTAGGTTTAACAGCTCAACTAGTAATTCGTTTTTCTAAACAGTTTTATTAACTTAGTTTAGCAGAAAAGGGGAAAGAAAGAAAATTTACAAGTGTGAGTAACTGTCCGAGAAACTAATAAACTTACCTGTTCCATACCCGGAGAGGTTAAGACAATATTGTTTCCCTTGGGAAACAAAACACTCAAACTACACAGGCCCTGAATGAAAGTACACTTGTAATAAGCTTCACTTGTATTATACAGGAAACCCCTTATTCCTAGGTTTAATTGCACCTGTAGACATAAGGATGAACAAAAATGAATAAAATAAACAGGCGAGGATGAGAAGTCATCAAGAGTTCAATTATTATTTTATCAAAGATAAAAGGCCATTAAGAAAACTTGGTCTGTTAACTGTTAAGTATTTTTGTATTGGTGAAATCTGATTATATGCATCAAGTGTCAACCAATAACAAATATATTACTTCGGAAGAAGCAAAGGATTAAGCACCACAAGGATTTTCATCTGCCAAGATGATATAAAATAAATGATATAATTTTGGATCAAATTATCCTAAAGTTTCTGCAAAAGCCAATTAGAATGAGTAAATTGCTAAAATAGGTCACGTTTTGCCCATTTACCTCCACCTCCTCTGAGTTCAAGTTACCCACTGCAACATAGTAACTTGAAGATGAGTATATGTACTGATGGATCACACCACTTCCTGTGAGGAATCAAAGGCTAACATCAGAAAAAATGATGTATACCAGCAAAAATTACATGTTTTTCACTTCTATCTCACCACGGATAACGTTCCATGATAGGGTGGTGTTGGGATATGTTGGGTCCTCAAGCCATTGAGCCAGGCCTTCATTTCCTGCAATGTGCCAGCTTCAGAATAATGAGATAAAATGCACAAATGTTATAAGTAAATAAAAAAGAGTATAGACAAATTACATAATGCAGTTGAAATTTTCATAACTAAGTAAATTTTGAGAAGAATAGAGATAAATGCATCCACTAACACATTCATGTCTAGCACTCCTATATAATTTCTTATAATCAGAAAGTAAGGGACTGTTTGTTCCCGTTTTCAGTTCCAATTTTCTTAGTTTTTTTTTTTCTTTGAAAACGTGGATTCTTTGTTGACTAACCAGTTTGTGTTTTTGTTTCTAAAATGCAAAATAGAATGGATTTTCTTTCAAAGCATTAAAGTTAGAAACACACAAAACAACTGTTGTTTTCTCTACTCCAAACTCATGAAAGGGAATGTTTGCCTAAAAATTGATAAGATGAAAAAGATTTTTAACACATGTTAACTGCTTCTCTAACATAAAATTTGTACGAAATATTCTACAAGAATAACAATTAATACATAAACATATTGACCAATTGATATTTGGTAATTGTCATAAATATTATTATAATTTTCAGAGAATTTTATATTTTTTTTTTTCAATTTTCTTTTAGCACTCTATGCGAAACAAAAATAAAAATCAAATACGTAAAATTTACATTACTGATTTTTTATAATAAATTATGATTGCCTTATTATATAATTATATATGTAAAACTATAACTTTCATTTATAACATTTTGATCTTTTAACATTTAATTCATTGATTTTCTTTCCTAACTTTACGTTTATGTATTCTTAACATGATTAACATGTAACAAGCTTAACGTAAATTAATTTAATCATGTTCAAATTTTTTTTTTTTTTTTTTTTTAATTTTAAATAGCTTAACAATGAAAAATTATCATTGTTCATAAAACGAGTTCTTTAGATATAGTCAGGGAATGTGTTTCCTCCATTTCAGTTTTCGATATCGCTTTCATAAAATGATAGTGAACACGTTTTCAAATTTTAAAAATACAAAATTAAATTTCTTATTTTCACTTCAATTCATTTTTGAAAACAAAAATACAGAAAATGCAAGTGCATGGCACCTGAGAGAATTACAAATTATGAGACATCTTGAAAAAAAAATTACAATTATTACATCTATGTTATTCCCAGGTGTTAGCTGTTTTTAAGAGGCCGATTCATGTTATCAGTTCCACAAAATCAATAATACATCATCAGGACTTATGAGTAAAGCCAAAAATATGACATCATTTACTAAGTATTTCCTCAAGCCTGGCTTCACTCATATGGCTCTGTGATTTATAACATAGCATCTTGAGTCAAAATATATCCTTATTAAAGAGAGTAAAATTAAAGATATGCAATACGCCAATACCGTAAATGATGGCTTAATGTTGTAATGTTAGTTGTTATGATGGTCTCTATTTTTATAAACACACTTAGAATTGCATGGGTCCATCACGCTTCTGTTGATACTCTAGTAGCATTTATACAAAAACTTATTGAAGAGCAAAAAGATTTATTAAAAAAAAAAAAAAAAAATTAATAATTGCAAAGTATTCTACTAAAGATTTAAGCATACCTTGGGCAATTATGAGGAAAACAGAGGAGCTTGGAGACTTTACACTGTATGTAATGTTAATTTGAGACCCTTCATTTAGGAAATGAATCCACTCCTGGTGACAGAAAAATACAAGTTGAACATCTAAATTCTAAAATTTCAAGAACAAATACAAAGCATCATTGAGGCAAAACAGTAACATGGCATTATCCAAAATCAAACTTGCCTTGTGAGAATCAGCTGGTACAGAGACACCATAACTTTCGGACCAAGTAGTTACTACATCAAGAGGTGGAGAATTATAAAACCCATATAGCTGAGGTCCAGGTTTTGTCCCTTCTAACTCTTCCACCTGATCACATAAACCAACGTAAATCACCACCACAACATCAAAAACTTGCATCACTAGAGAGGCTACAAAAAGTTGCCGCTGACCTTGATGGTCTGCACAAAAAAGGGGTTGGGTCGTATCAGAATGGATGCATTAGGACCAAGCCTTACATTTGCCGCACCATAAACTCCCAGGATTAGAGTCATTGAGACTGCAATATGTAAATTCAATCCTCATTATAATAATCAGACCACATAAACTTACAACTTACAAGAATAACCAAATGAGCAGGTCATAATTTAACAAACGGGGAAAAAATCCAGCAATTGCTGGTCAAATTATGTAACAGAAATGTAAAATTACACAATAAATAAAAAAAAAAAAAAAGAAACAGTAACCAGGACCAAATCGAACAATTGCATCAAATAAAAGACAAAATAAAAACATACTAACCGAAGAACCAAAAAGTGAGGACAACGATTATGCAAGACCAAGTGTCATCACTAATAACTGTCGATGCATCATCGAAAGCTGAAAAGTTTCCTCGATAAGCAAATCCAAAATTCTGATGCTCTAGTTCTGGCTGTCCAGATCGATGAGGATCATGATCATGATTATGATGAGTTTCCTCTTCTTCACTCACTGGTGATGAATTCAAAGAAGGAGACAATGAAGCAGCGCCTGCACCTGAAGAGTCTCTATTGGTGGAAGATCCCGAAGTAGAAGCTGAACTGTGATCTGGCTCCGCCATTCTAGAGAGCGAAAGCAGATAAGGATTAAAGAAATTGAGAATTGGATAAAATTAAAGCCCTAACCCTAACTTTAATTCAACGGGTAAAATAAAGATAACACACCTTGGCGTCTCTGTCGAAAATGGTCAGAGTCCATGAAGAGGAGAGTGAGGAACTGAAATTCACCAATCAGTCGCTTCGTCTTCGTGAGAATGGTAGTTGGCTTGGGGGACGAGTGACAGACTGAGAGTCTTATTTGAGCTGTACCTAACCTTTAGTTAGAATTAGAACTAATGACGTTGAACTTAATTAGCCAATCAGCAGCATTTTTCGGCTCATGGCTGATGGCTATGTAATATTCCTATATTCAATAATTCTCTATTTTCTGCATCCAACTTGGGCTCCGTTTGCTATATTATCTTATAGTTTTTAGAATAATCTTTAAAAAAAAGTTAAATTAGATAGGTATTACGATATAGGATTTAGAAATTAACAAAAATATCTCTTATGTTTATTTATTTACTAAACTCCTCTATAATAAAATATTAAAAGTTAACAAAAATACCCCTAACCTACTCATTAAATATGGACAGTCGATGACTACCGCCGGAGGGTGGTCGGAGTATTTTTGTAATTTCTAAAAAAAATATTTGAGGGTGTTTAGTTAAATTAACAAATTTATGAGGTTTAAAAGAACTTAAAAAATATAGAATAATATTTTGGGAATAATGACATTTTAGGCTTCGTTTGGTTCAAGATTGGGAATACTACTCTTAGTATTCCCAAAAAAGTTAAACAGTAAAATACCCAAAAACTCTCATTTTTGGGAATACTATTTTCAATATTATTCAATTTTTTTTAAACCCTCTAAATTTGTTAATTTAATTAAATACCCCTAAATATTTTTTTAAAAATTACAAAAACACCCTAACAATCCACATTTACCAGATTCTGGCCACCACTGCCGGAAAATGGCCAGAATTTGGTAGGATGGCGCACTACCGGCTGAATCTGGCCAGTAGTGCACCGATCTAGCCTTTTCCGGCCAGATCCACGGTGGATCTGGCCGGAAAAGGCCAGATCTTTGGCCGTAACAGTCGGTCACGACGATCAACAAACGGTCGTCGTTGACCATCAATGACAACCGTTTGTTGGCCGTCGTTGAGAGCAAATACGACCAAATCTGGCCGTAGATCTGGCCTTTGCTGGCCAGATCCACCGTGGATCTGGCCGGAAAAGGCCATATCGGCTCATGACCGGCAAGATCCAGCCGGTCATGAGCCGATAAGGCTACTCCGGCCACCTCCGGTGGTGGTGGCCGGCTGGGGGTATTTGAGGGTGGGTTGGGGGTGTTTTTGTTAACTTTTAATGTTTTATTATAGGGGGTATTTTGTAAAAAAACAAACATAAAGGGTATTTTATTAATTTATAAATCCTACATCGTAATACCCGCCCAATTCAACTTTTTTTTAACTTTTTAAAAAAATCTTTTCTCAAAACCTCCAAATTTTGAACCAAACGAAGCCTTACTGTTTAACTTTTTTGGGAATACTAATAATAGTATTCTCAAATGCGAAATAAACGAAGCCAAAAAGTTTTGATTCAAACTTTGGCTATTTATAAATAAAAATAAATTTTAAATTATAATAAATTATAATTTTTTTAAGTCTCGTCTTAAAGAACTTGCTTCTATATGTAATAATTGTATATATATTATAAAAACATATATGTTATGTTACATTAAATATTTAAAATAAAATAAAATATTTATTTAAAGTTGTTTGAGACAATAATTTATTTATGCTTTAGAGTTGTTATTATATCTTTTATCTTGCGGATACGTAATAAGTTGTCAACATGGACATCTTTTTGTTGAAGCTAAAATATTTTTAACTGCATATTTGGAGCTTCTTGGCACAAAACATTTGGTATTTCCGTACTATATTCATATTCAGGATTATCTCCTTCCTCTTTTTGTTTAATTCCAGTAATGATTTCTTTTTCAGTTAAAGCATACGCGACTTGTTGCTCATTTGGATGATTAAGAAAAATATTAATATCCATTTGATTAGTGTAGTGAAGTTGTCGTGTTGATCACTCAATTTTGTAATGACTCTTTAATATTCATTTTCATACTATCCTAATGCTACTAAAACAATGAATTAAAATCTTAATACTACTAAAACATGAATTAAAAATAAAAAATCAAATCAATAATTTTTTAATTAAAACAATAATTCTTATAATTACACCTCTATGAAGTTATAACCTCCTTATAATAATAAATTTAATTAGTTTCAACATTATGACTATAGGAAAGTTCTACTGGATAAGTAAATTCATTAGTTTGACGGTTTTATAATATCTTAATTATATATTATTTTCAATTTTATTTATTCAACTTTATTTTAACTATATAAATAGTAATATTTATTAACCAATTTCATAATCAATTATAATGAAAATAAATATAAGAATAGTTAAATTATATTTGTATTTAAAACAAAAAATAAGATAAAACTTAAATATAACTAAATTATATACTTAAGAAACTGAATAAAATATAATGGGATTTAAAACAAAGTTTTATATTCTTTTCAGTTTTTATTTCTTCAATTTTAATTTTGTTAAAATAAGAAATATTGAAAAAATAATAACTAAAAAAAATTAATTAGACAAAATGTATTATAGTTTTTATTGTTAGAGTAGGTGCCTTAGAGCCAATCAATTATTGTAGAATTGACTATTTATAATAATGTTTATTAATTAATAAAAGATATTTTCTGTTATATCGTGTAAATCATAATTGTATGTATTGATATATGTTTTTAGAATGATAGAATCATGAAAAGGGTATCAAGTGTTTTAAATCTTGATAGTGAGAACCTTATGATCACATATAGTGGTCATTTTAGAAATGTCTGTAGCCCCAGTATTATTTTGACTAAGGACACAGATAATACGATAAGACTATCATAGTGTTGAATGACCTTGTCGAAAGGTAGTGACTGATCTCACTTGTCAAGGTTGTTTGCTGCCAACCTGGTGCAACACAAAAGTGCTTACTGTAGGCAAGTTCATTGGATTAACCCATTAGAGGATTCCATATAGATGATAACCCTAGTGTCTATGGAACAAACCCTTTAACGAATGATGGTGCATGTGATCCTTAGACTTGAGATCACCGGAGCGCCTTGTGCACCGATTGGTGTAATACTGTAGTTTGACACTAACCTAATGTAGTTTTATTTAGAGCTATTGATACGGTAGTGATTGGCTACATAGAGGAGTGTATCAAGACTATAGTGGATCGATAGATGATTCATCACTCTTGGGTACGGGAGAAGTTATCTCACTACGTAATTCAGTAAATGAAAATAACACTAAAGTTGTGGCTACAGTGGGATTGAATTATTGTCTAATCCAATTTATTATTTCGGTCATTGGTCTAGTAACTGAATATGAAGGTATCGAGGATAACTGAGGTTGACATTATTTCTATACCTCAATCTCGATGAGATAATAGATGATGAAAAAATTTGATTGGACGGTAACCATATTGTTGATAGGTAGTTATTTTGCTGAATCCGAATCTATCGGGTGACCATGATGCCTTGCTAGAGTCCAATCTTGGTCTGTGTGTAGTGAGATGATTAATTGGTGTTAGTTGCGATACTACTCATTGTCGATATGATGAAGAGCCTACGGGTCACACACTTAGAAGCCAGTTTAAGGATAATAAGTAATATTATTAGAGTTAATATTAATATTTAACTAAATAATTAAATTAGGGTTAATATGTAATTCTACCTAATGGATTGATGCCAAACTTGAGGGGTGAAATGGATATTTTACTTATTATATAAGCAAAGAAAATTTAAGGTTTTCTAACCTAAGATTTCATTTTTGCTGTGGAGTGAAGTTTTGAAGAGAAATTTTTCTCTTCTTCTTCTCTTCACTCTATCATCCAAGTACCATCCTTAAAGCCAAGAATTGATTCTAGCAAAATCAATTCTTGGTCTCTAATATATTGTTTTCACTTGGATGACGTGAGTTCAATTTCATTCTCGAATCGATAGCGAATCGCGTTTAGAGATATTGCTGGAGCCTCCAAACGCTGATATAATCTAATTATTGCATAGATCTTTGTTATTTCAATTTAAACATTGAATATATATATATATATATATATATAATATATTCTATATTATATATATATATAATATATATATATATATATATATATATATATATAGAAGAGAGAGAGAAGAGAGAGAGAGAGAGAGAAGAGAGAGGAGAGAGAGAGAAGAGAGGAGATCGAGTAAAACCTCTCTATAGCCTAGTTAGTAAATTCGCATTTTATACGCCCAGCCGTATAATTCCCGTATAATTCGGCCGTATTTTTGAAAATAAAATTTTGTTATTTAATGAGCCAAAACGACGTCGTTTTAGGTGAAATTTGATCAAAACGACGTCGTTTTATGCTTAGTCTCTTTTTTTGGCGCCCTTTTCCTCTCTTCTTCTATTTTCTGCACTTGCTTCCTCTCTCCTCTCTTTTGCCGCCTTCTTCTTTCTTTTGGCGCCCTTTTCCTCTCTTTTTCTCTTTTTTGGTGCCCTCTCCCTCTCTTCTTCTCTTTTTTGGCGTCTCTACCTCTCTTCCTCTTCAACTATTCTTCAACAACAATTTTATTTGTCATTAAGTTGAAGAAGAAGAAGATAAGACAAACAATTTCCTTATAGGTTCGCTTCTATAATATTTGTAATAATTAATTACGAATCAAATATTATATTTTCTTATAAACTAAAATATTATAATTAAAAAAGATATAAATTATACACCTATAAGAAAAAATAGAGAATGATTAATTCAATGATCATAAAAAGTGCTAAAATCAAGATTAATATCGCCGTATTTTTCAAAACGTATTATTGACAATATACCGTATTAAACTCGTATATATCCGTACCGTATTTTTCCCGTATCCGAATTTTAAGGCTGAATTATTATAAACGTATTTTT